CCCTGTCGCCCCTCTGGATGGATGCAGCTGTTTAAGGGGTGCAAAAACCAGAGGTGGAATGAAGGGGTGCAAGCATAGTGGCCTGAGAGCTGGTTGCAGGTGGTGCTGTGTCAGGCAGCATGTTGGAGCGAGAGTATGTGTTGCCGTTCTTGAGGAGTAGAGCACCGCTGTCATGCTGCTGGATGGATGCAACAAATGTTCGAGGTGGGGTAGGGAATCCGCACAGTAGCTCCAGTCCAGGTGTTGTTGACCAGCTCTAGAGGAAAAAATACAGTAACCACAGCAACACGGAAGAGAGGTGTAGCAGAGAGTGCAGGAGAGGTTAAGGGAGGAGGGGAAGCTCCAGGTGATTTTGACCTCCTCTTCGGTGAGAGAGGAGCGTTAGAGGAAGAAGTAGAGTCCGCACGGCAACAAGGCATAGAGGTGTAAAGAGAATAAGAGAGAAGGGAAACGCACAGGTGTTGTTGACGTCCTCCTCTGTGAGAGAGAAGCTCTTGAGGAAGAAGTAGGATCAGCACAAAACGAGTAGATACAGAGGTGCAGCGGAGAAATGAGAAGGAAAGGGAGGGCAACTCACAGTAGCTCCAGGTGTTGTTGACCTCGTCCTCCTCTGTGAGAGGGAAGCTCTTGAGGAAAAACTAGGCGGAGTCAGCATGGCAGCAAGAAGTATAGAGGTGTGAAGAGAATAAGAGGGAAGGGAAACGCACAGTAGCTCCAGGTGTTGTTGACGTCCTCCTCTGTGAGAGGGAAGCTCTTGAGGAAAAACTAGGCGGAGTCAGCATGGCAGCAAGAAGTATACAGGTGTGAAGAGAATAAGAGGGAAGGGAAACGCACAGTAGCTCCAGGTGTTGTTGACGTCCTCCTCTGTAAGAGGGAAGCTCTTGAGGAAGAAGTAGGCACTGTCGCCACTGGCGAGCTGCGAGAGGTTGGTGGCTGCAGCTTGATGCTGTGTTGAACCCGAACGGTGCCGCTCCCTCCTTGAGCAGGCGAGCTGGCACGTTGCTGGTAGGGGTCAAAAGGGGAGGGGAGGAAGCAGGCAGAGGCACCAGTAGCAAGCTGCGAGGTGTTGGTTCTGGGGAGAGCAGGAGCAGGGGAAAGCAGCCATCCAGCAGCGCCCTTGGCAAAAGTTGTGAGCGGCACAGAGAGGGGGCTTTGAGGCAGGCACTGTATACATGGTGCTAACAGGCCAAGGGCGTACTGTTGATGCTCCACGAGGGGTAGGACTGGGGAAGGTACCCCTTGTACGGTACCCAGCAGCGCTCTTATTGAACACTGTGAGCGGCACTGTGAGGGGGCCGACAGGCACGCACTGCCCCTTGAAGCACACAGAGCCATCAAGTCATGTAGGCTTACAAGTTACAAGGGCTTACGTGTTGGTGCTCCAGGTGGGGTATGACTGCGGCAGATACCCCTTGTCATAGTACAGCCACCCAGAGGCGCCCTTGGCAATAGTGGTAAGCGGCACTGTGAGGGGGCCAACAGGCAGGCACTGCCCCTTGAAGCACACGGAGCCGTTGGCGCAGTCGAGCTGCGGGGCGGAGAGGGAGGGCGAGTTGTCCACCAGCCCGTCGCAGTTGTCGTCCACTCCGTTGCACCTGGTAAAGGGAGAGGAAGCATGAGCGGGGGAGCAGGGGAGCAGCGGGCTTTAGAGTCAAATCAAAAGCCAGCAGCAGGAGAGGGAGGGCGAGTTGTTGACGAGAGCATCACAGTTGTCGTCCATACATTGCAACTGATGTAGGAGCAGAGCAGAATGAGAGGAGCGAAGGGGGTGGGAGGGTGGAGGATTTAAAGTCAACCCAAGAGCCATCATGGTAACCACACTCTCAGACCGTGCTTTGATTTAGAACACCTACTCACACTTCCGACCCTTGAGCGCAGAGGGTTCAGCTGGTTGTTTTGAGTTCCCAAGAACCAACCCAACCCAAGGGGATGTGCGCAGAGCAGTTTGTAGAAGACCCCAACAATGCATGGCTCAACGTCAGCTCTACAGAATTTCCATGTAGCATTCACCCATGCGAATCACTCACAGACCCATTGGAATTGCTCACACACCCATGTGCACCACTCACACTTCCGGCCTGTGCACCGGTGCAGTGCGGTTCTGGAAGGCCCCAGCAATGCAGGGCTCATTGAAGCACTTGTGATTCCCACCCATGCGCAGCACTCACTCGCGCTCCTTCCCATATCAGCTACTCACACTTCCGGCCCGTGCACGGGCGCCGTGCAGTTCTGGAACGCCCCCTCGATGCACGTCTCCACGCCAGCCCCACAGGGGTTGCGGCAGGGGCGCGTGAGAGGCAGATCGGTGAGCGGGTCGATGTCCACCTTGCCTGAAGTTGGGGGAGGGTTTCAGAAGAGTGCGAGGGAAAGGTGCATGTATGGTTGAGGGGGGGGGGTGGTGAGGGGGAGGGTGGTGAGAGGCAGGTGTGTGTGCAGGGGGTATGCGGGGGTTCCACCCTCCCACCACCATCATTAGCCCATCGCACCTCCTGCAATATCAGCATACCGCTACAAGGTGCGCTGCTGCACCCACACTCCCTCCAGCACGCATCCTCCCACCATCCTCCACGCTCTCTCACTCACCATCGTTGTTGTTGTCGAGCCCATCGCACACCTCCTGCAATATCAGCATACCGCTACAAGGTGCGCTGCTGCACCCACACTCCCTCCAGCACGCATCCTCCCACCATCCTCCATGCTCTCTCACTCACCATCGTTGTTGTTGTCGAGCCCATCGCACACCTCCTGCAATATCAGCATACCGCTACAACGTGCGCTGCTGCATCCACACTCCCTCCAGCACGCATCCTCCCACCATCCTCCACGCTCTCTCACTCACCATCGTTGTTGTTGTCGAGCCCATCGCACACCTCCTGCAGTATCAACACTCCGCTGCACGTTGCGCTGCTGCAAGGTGGGAACGAAAGGGGGTGAGGTGGAGTGGATGGGTGGAAACGGAAGGAGACGGAGTGGGTGGGTGAGAGCAAAGGGAGATGGGGGAAGGCGAAAGTCGCACCTTCAAGGACCTTTGAGCAATTACCAAGCTAAGCTTCGCACTCAGAAGCAATAGAGTGGAGGCGAGGAGAAAGCCAAAAGCGTGGTACTGACTCCATTGAAAGGTGCCTTGACTGCATGAAGGCACGGCAGGACATTCAACGCGCATGGGACTCCACTGCAATGTGGTCGGTGCCTTGAGGCTTCCAATATACCAAACAAACCGCTTTTTACAAGAAGGAATCACTCCATCTGAGCCTCTCGTCCCAGCAACTCACTCCATATGAGCCGACAGCTTGAGGTCGAAGAAGGTCTCCGTCGTCCAGATGGCCGCGTGGAACTCCATTACAGCCATGTGCTTGGTGTGCTTTGACTCTCCCAATCCCCTGCACCCACCTCTTCTCCCAAGGGCTCACCCCCAACAACTCACTCCATCTGAGCCGACAGCTTGAGGTCGAAGAAGTTTTCGGTCGTCCAGATGGCCGCGTGCGACTCCGCAGCAATGTAGTTGGTGCCCTCCGCCAGGGAGAAGGGAGCCGTGGCGTTGAGAGGGATGAAAAAAGAGGCGAAGTCCCACACGTTCTGGTTGGAGAGGGCCTGGTGCGGAGGGGGGCCGGAAGGGAGGTTCAGGGAGTGGAGTGAGAGAGCAGGAGGAAGGCAAGGAGAAGGGCGCCATGGTATTGAATGGGCTAAAGAATGAGGTGGCGCCCCACACGTTCTGGTTGGAGAGGGCCTGGTGCGGAGGGGGGGAAGAAGGAGGGGGCAGGAAGGGAGGGAGAATGGGGGTCAGAGGCGAAGGAGACGGGCGCTGTGGCGTTGAGAGAGGGATGAAGAAGGACGTGAAGCGAACTCCCACACATTCTGGTTCGAGAGGGCCTGTGGAAGTTAGGGAGATAGGAGGGGCAGGGAAGGGCATGGACGGGCATGGACGGGCATGGACGGGCATGGACGGGCATGGACGGGCATGGACGGGCATGGACGGGCATGGACGGGCACGGACGGGAGGGTTGTAAGAGCAGCAGGAGAATGGGGAGCACCCTCGTAGTTCTTGAGATAGCCTCACTCTAGTCTTGCCCTGGACAAAACGTTGACAGCACCGGGCGCCATGTTGACTCGTAGCATCTCCACCCCATTCAGGTGCAGCAGCACCCCGTCATCGCACGCGCCAACAGCGCTGTGGCACGCACTCATGGACGGTGGCAGTATTGGCGCACCTCAACGCCCATCAGATGAGAGTTGCACTCACCCTGGAGGACACATTGACAGGACCCGGCGCCATGTTGACTCGCAGCATCTCGACGCCGTTGAGATACAGCAGCACCCCGTCGTTCACAATCACGTCCACGAACAGCCCCGTGACACACGCGCTGCTGGCCACCTTGAATGCGCGCCGGTAGTAGAAGGTGGGAAGAGCGTCGCCTGAGGGGGGGGTCCATGTGTTGACGCCATTCCACCGCCCTGGTTGTCGGTAGGGGATGGGAGAAGAGAGGGGTAGGGGATGGCATGTATTTTTGCATGCTCGGATCTCGCTCCAGCTAGTAGAAGGTGGGGGGGAGCGCGCCCCCCAAGGGGGGAGAGCACGTGTTGACACCATTCCACCAGCCTGGTGCAAGGAGGGACGAAGAAGAGATTGGGCCGACAGGCATTAAAAGTTAAGAAGGTTGGTTTTCAAAGTTGATTGGGCCGACAGGCATTCAAATTTCAGTACGTTGGTTTTGAGACATCCCAAAACTAATGTTGACGCCATTCCACTGCCCTGGTGGAAGGAGGGACGAAGAGAACGGGCCGAGAGGCATTCAAGTTGAAAGAGGCAGGAGGACGAGAATGACCCAATGCCACTCGGGCACCCTAGTAGAAGGTGGATGAGGGTATCGTTGGCTTGACACACATGCATCCCATGCCCACACATGCATCCCATGCCCACACATGCATCCCATGCCCACACATGCATCCTTGCCTACACATGCTTGCATCGAATACCCACAAATGCTGAATGCGTATCCAACCATACGTACATCCAACATAACCAATGATAGCCGGGCCTCGGGGCCAGCTGGCATCGTTGAAGCGTGGAGAGCTGAAGCCCATGGCGCCTGTGATGGCTGCATGCAGCTCCCTGCCGCTCACGTCGTACGCCCATGTGGATTCCGGTGCTATCAGCCCACAGCGACTGGTGATGGTGGGGGTGGTGGGGGTGGTGGGGGTGGTGGGGGGTGATGGAAAGGACGGCAGCGAAGAGCGATTAAAACACGCATGGCTGCATGCAGCTCCCTGCCGCTCACGTCGTACGCCCATGTGGATTCCGATGCTATCAGCCCGTAGCGACTGGTGCACGGGGGGAGGGGGAGGGAGGGTGAGTGGACAGGAAGGCAGCATAGACATAGTCATAGTGAGTGGCCTGTGCGCTGCCCGGATGCGTGCAGCTCCCTTCCACTCACGCCGTATACCCATGCGGGCCCTGGTGCTATCAACCCACAGCGATTGGTGATGGTGGGGACAGGGGGGGGTGGGGGGGGAGGGATGGGGGCAGCAGGGGGCAGAAAGGGTGAGTAGGAGAGATGAGATGCAGCAGCACGGCTGCAGGCCCCCGCCACTCACGTCGTATGCCCAGGTTGCCCCACGTTCTATGTGCCTGCCACGGCCTGAGATGGTGCGGGTGCGAGGATCGGGGGGCGGGATGGGGGGAGCAGGGGGGACAGAAAGGGTGAGAAGGAGAGATGAGATGAACGACAGATGCAACCCACATTGTACACCCCATGTGGCTCCCGGTGTTATCAACCCACACCCACGGTGTCTTGTGCACCAGGGGAGATTGGGGGGGAGGGGGGAGGCAACACGGTGAATGACCCGCATGCAGCCCCCTGCTACTCACAGCATACGCCCGCGTGGATCCTGGTGCTGCTATCAGCCCACAGCGACTGGTGCACGAGGGTAGGCACTTACTGGGGGAGGCGGCAACTAACTAAGCACAGGTTTGGGGGAGGCGCGGAGCAGGCACTTACTAGGGTAGGCGGCAACCAACGACAGGGTTGGGGGAGGCGCGGAGCACGACAGGGTCGGAGTAGGAGCCGTCAAAGAGCAGCTCGATGGTGGGCTTGAACTTGAAACACACAAATGAGAACTGCAGCGCTGCACGGTCTGCTGTGCCCAGGCAAGCCCTGAGGGAGAGATGTAGCGTGCGGACGGAGGGGGGAGAAGGCGGTTGTTGAATGACAGTGGGCTGGAACTTTAAACAGACGAATAAGGATTTCACTGCTGCAGGGTCTGCTGTGCCGGGCCCGGGACAGGCCCCGAGGGACGGGTGTGAGTTTTTGGGGGAGAAGGAGCGAGGATGGGTTGTGGAAGCTTGAAGCGCACAAAGGAGAGGAGCAGTGGATCACGCTCAGGGTAGGAGATGGTATTGCTCGTAACTATAGATGTGCCTGCGGCCTGCCCATGCATTGGGGAGAGATGGACATAGTGGTGGGGGCGAGGGGCGCATGGTTGGAAGAAGAAGAGAGGGAGGGGGTCCACTCACATTGGACAGCAGTAATACAAGGTCTAGGGTGAAAGCCTAACACAAGACAGCAGCAAATTACAAAAGCAGCACCACCATAAGTAGCACCACCATCAGAGCGCCACTCACTTCCTGTTCACATTCTGCTCCTCGTTGATCGCCCATTGGTTGCTCTGCCTGGCGGGAATCATCAACGTGTCCGGCCCAGCCCCTCATACCATCAACACACAGTCGCACCACCACAAGCACCACCACAAGCACCACCACAAGCACCACCACAAGCACCACCACAAGCACCACCACAAGCACCACCACAAGCACCACCACAAGCACCACCACAAGCACCACCACAAGCACCACCACAAGTACCACCACAAGTACCACAACAAGTACCACCACAAGTACCACCACAAGTACCACCACAAGTACCACCACAAGTACCACCACAAGCATCACCACAAGTACCACCACAAGGACCACCACAAGCACCACCACAAGTACCACCACAAGGACCACAACAAGTACCAGCACAAGTACCAGCACAAGTACCACCCACTCACTTCCAGTTGACATCCTGTTCCTCGTTGATCGCCCACTGGTTGCTCTGCCTTGCCGGGATCCTCAGAGTCACCGGCCCTCCGCACCCGTTGCTGTCGCGCACTTGCACCGTGATGTTGGACGGGAAGAACGCCTGGTTATTACTCGGTAACCCTACGTTGACCTCGTAGGTAGCGTTCGCCAGCAGGGGGACGACGAAGATCCGCTGCCCCGCCGCCCACATGTTGCCGACCGAGCGCAGATTGCCGTCCACAGTGATGACTGCATCGTCCTCAATGCGACGGATGGAGAGGTAGCTGGAATGGGGAAAAGGGGGGGTAGCAGGGAGAGGATAACAGATAGAGGCTAGGTAGTGGATCGAGAGGAGTGAGCTACCAGAGGCACCAGGAGCAACGTGCTGTCCTCCCAACCCCATGTTGCTGATCAAGCGCAGATTGCCATCCACTGTGAGGACTGCGTCATCCTCAATGCGACGGATGGAGAGGTAGCTGAGGTGGGGGGAGGGGGGGAAGGAACAGATAGAGGATTTCACAACGGCACCACAAACCCATGCCGTGCTCCCAACCACATGTTAGCCACTGAGCACCGATTGCCGACCACTGTAATGACCACGATGAGCATGCCGTCCTCAACACGACGGGTGGAGAGGTAGCTGGGGTGGGGGGAGAGTGGTTAGCAGAAGGGTAGTAGATAGAGGGGTTTTTAGCGCATTGCTCCCTGACCGGGGGCTACTGGCTTTTTGTTAAACCCTAAACTGTGTAGGCTTCAATACGGCGGATAGGGATGGAATGAAAACTGGAGGGAATACGAGGAGGACAGCACGTGCCTGGACAGGCATGCACGTCCATTCCCCATTCCCCATTCCCCATTCCCCATTCCCCATTCCCCATTCCCCATCCCTCATTCCCCATTCCTCATTCCTCACTTCCCTCACCTGAAGTCCCCTCGTTTGCGTGTGTCGGGCACGCTGCTGTTCTCATACACCGAAAATCCCGGTTCCAAGTAAGTGAACATCACAGTGCGGTAGCACGTGCCGGGACACGCGTACGCGTTCCAAGCCGGCACGGGGCGGCACGCAGGGAAGCGCTTGGTAGGGGGCAGCAGGGCGGAGTTGTTGGCCACTAGGTAGCCGCCCAACGAGGCGTTGAGGAACGAGCCGTCCCGGTCCCACAGAGTGTACAGGTCTGTGGCCTCGCTGCCCCCGTTCACATCGCCGCCCTGAGGGGGGAATACAGAACAGAGGATGGGGGCGGGTAGGTAGGAGTAGAGAAAAGCGCAACAGAAGGGGCCGGGTTGTTGGCTAGAACGTTGCCTTTGGAGGTTGAGCTGAGGGGATTCTGATGGGTAGAGCATGGGAGGGGGTTGGGCAGGCTGTAGCATGGTTGGGGGTTGGGCAGGCTGTAGCATGAGAGGGGGTTGGCCAGGCTGTAGCATGAGAGGGGGTGAGGGCAGGTTGTGGCAGGTCAGAAAGAAGCAAGTAGGGAGGTTGGCTGATGAGAGAACATGGAGGGATTGGGGCAACAATTAGCTGGGAACTGGGACGAGTAGGTGATTTTCGAGATTTTTCACAAGTTGTAGGTGATTTTTGAGAATTCTAAAAAATCACCTAGAATGCTGGGAACTGGCATGGCGGTAGGTGAAGATGAAGTGAACAGGGAAGTGGCATGGAGGTAGGTACTAGGTAGCTAGCACTACTCACTGGGAAGGTGAAGTTGCGGGGAGGGAAGAAGAGCAGGTTGGTAGAGTCCGTGCCTTGCACCGCCTGCAAGGATCCTCACAACACAGACAGGGTTGAAGACAGGGTTGAAGGCAGGGTTGAAGGCAGGGTTGAAGGCAGGGTTGAAGGCAGGGTTGAAGGCAGGGTTGAAGGCAGGGTTGAAGGCAGGGTTGAAGGCAGGGTTGAAGGCAGGGTTGAAGGCAGGTTGAAGGCAGAGTTGAAGGCAGGGTTGAAGGCAGGGTTGAAGGCAGAGTTGAAGGCAGGGTTGAAGACAGGTTGGAGAAAGGGTTGAAGACAGGTTGGAGACAGGGTTGAAGACAGGGTTGGGGGCAAGGGATGCTTGGAATGCCGTGATGAGCGAGTCACCTATGAGGCCTCGGTCGAATCCTCAGAAGCCAGCCATAGCCAGGGAGATTGAAACCAGCATAACCAAACCCCACCGCACTCCACCAGTGGCAGTAACCAGCACACGGCAGGGAAGGCAGCCTCTCACTGCCACATGGGTGGTGGAGTGGAGACCCATGTGCCCATGGGCGCCCCTTGATGCCTGCTCCCATGGCAGCAACCAGGCTTGAGGCACATGCATGCTACGGCCATCACCACCACATGGTAACCACCTCACCGCTACGCTGATGGCGGTGGCCCATGTGTCGTTGGGAGCATCGTTGAGGCCCGCTCCAATGGCAGCAGGTGGACGGTGCAGGGCGCCATGTCATGTCAGCAATCAGGCATGCGGCACATGAGTGCCATGCCAAGGCCCCTACCAGCATTCTAGTGGCGACAGCTGGCACATGGTAAGCGCCTCACCGCTATGCTGGTGGCGGTGGCCCATGTGTCCTTGGGAGCTCCATTGATGCCCGTGCCAATGGCAGCAGCTGGGCGGCACGTGCTGTCAAAGGCGTGGAAGCTGCACGGTGGGCGGGAGACGGGAGACGGGTGGGTGGGGTTGAGACTGTGCGAGCATGGAGAGAGTAGGGGGTGGGGATGAGATGGTGCGAGGGAGACGAGAGTCAGTGGAGGGGAGGAGGCGGGTTGTTGGGGTTGAGAGCGGAACTGACAGGAGAATGAAGGGAGGGATGGAAATGTTTGAACGAGTGTGATGCTACAATACAATGCTACAGTGCAACGCTTCAGTGCAATGCTACAGTGCAATGCCTCATTGATGATATGAAGATGCCATGCAATCATCAGAGCATGGTGACAGCATGTGTGCGGTGGAAGACTGGACATGGTGTCATGTAGGCACGGTGGGCATGGGTGGATGAAAGGCGTGGGCTAGAATGCCACCCACCGGCAGTTGGAGATGGCATGAGCGCGGGAGAAGTCGAATCCAAAGGTGGGTTGGTCGATGATGATGCCAAAGAGAGGGTTCTTCCAGTGGCTCCACCCCTGCGACCGGCCCTGCTGCCCTGGGGCTAGAGGGAACCTGCCTCACAGGAAGACAGACGCACACACATGAGCAGAATTTTAAGGCGAGCTGGTCAATCACCTGTTGAGAATGCCAACAAAAACGACTGAAGGTGAGTGATGCTGGTCAATGACGCTGTTGCAGAGAGGGTTCTCCCAACGGCTTCACCCCTGCGACCGGCCCTGATGGCCTGGCGCCAGGGGAACCTGCATTACAGAAACACACGAACACACATGTGCGTGCGCCCATGCATGCCAATCAATGAAGAGTACGCACGTCTGCAGCATGTAGTCACAGTTGCGCGGGTTGCAATAGTTGGGGGGAACGCCCCACAAGGCGGCTCTCAGTCACTCTCACCCTCCTCACTTGTCTCAATCCAATTGCACCCTGGCACTCACTCACTTGCATCCCATCACACGGACACACATCCGGGGCGAGGAGACACACATGCCCCCTGCCAAAACACACTCCATTGATTATCTCACCCCTGTCAACCCCTGTCAACCCCTGTCAACCTCTGCCAACCTCCATCATGCCCCCTTCCCCTGGTACTCACTCGCAGCCCGTCACGTGCCCACACATCTGCGGCGTGGAGTCACAGTTGCGCAGGTTGCCGTAGTTGGGCGACAGCCCCATGAAGCGGCTGTCAGTCACTCAAAGCCTCGACCTTCATCCCCTCTGCACCTGCACCCCCTCTGCGCCTTTAAGCCCTCCCCCAATACTCACTCGCATCCCGTCACAGGGCCACACATCTGCGGAGTGGAGTCACAGTTGCGCGGGTTGCCATAGTTGGGCGACAGCCCCACAAAGCGGCTGTCAGTCACGCGCACGCCCGTGTTCCCCAGCAGGTTGAGCCCCTGGCGGTTGTCAGCGAAGGTGCTGTTGGTGATGATGATGCCGTCAGAGTTGTGCATGAAGAACCTGACGAGGAAGAGCGGGGGAAGAAGGGGGAAGCGGGCGAGTTGATTTTTTAGTCGACTAAAAAATATTTCATGGAAGAAGGGGGAAACGGGCGAGTTGATTTTTTAGTCGACTAAAAAATCTTTCATGGAAGAAGGGGGAAACGGGCGAGTTGATTTTTTAGTCGACTAAAAAATCTTTCATGGAAGAAGGGGGAAACCGGCGAGTTTCTCCCCAGGAGGTCGAGCCCTTGGCGGGGCGGTTGTCTTGTCAGCGAGCTGCGAAGGTGCTGCTATTGGGGTGGTGAGGATGATACCGTCTGAGTTGTGCATGGCGAAACTGGCGGGGGGGGGGGGGGGAGAGAGGAAGAGGGAGAGAGAGTGGAGGAGAGGGAGGGGGGGAATAGAGCAGCGAAGTGCTGTCGTCACCCACACCACACGCCCGTGTTCCCCAGAGGTGCCGGTTGTCTGTGAATGGGATGTTGGTGGTGATGATGACACCGTCCGAATTCTGCACAAACATGCTGGTGGTGCGGTGGTGGACGGGGGGCATAAGGTGGTGCGGGGAGGAGGGGGATCGGGGGGATAAGGTGCCGCCCGGCCAGCAGGTTGAGGCCATGTTGGCTCTCTGCCAACATGCTGTTCGTGATGATGCTGTTTCAATCGTGCATGACGAGAGGAGGGATGAAGAAGCCAAGAGAGCCACCACGGCTTGCAGGTTTCATCCTGTTCTCCAGTGGCCCCCACCCACCAGTTCTGGCCGTTAAAGCCCGGGGCCCCAGCCAAGAAGGCACACCCCCTGCAACGCCTGTACAGAGCCTATAGGGTCACAGCGTGGTTGTGTATGCGCTTACTGGCCACCCACCCATCAGTGCCCCCCACCCATCAGAGCCCCCCACCCATCAGAGCCCCCACCCACCCATCAGCGTTCTTTTGGAAATTTCCAATCAAGGCTAGGTGGCACTCACCCGTCTCCAGCTTGCTTGTAGAGCAGCAGCCCACTGATGGTCCCCGTGGAAGGCTTCCACTGCCACTGCACAATGGTGAATGGGTTTTGGTGAGTGGGAGGGGCGTGTGAGGGAGCACGCACATACATGCACTTATCACTTGAGCATGCACGCACAGACCAGTCCGTCCCCAGCTGGCTTGCAGAGAAGCAATCTGCTGATGGTCCCCGCGCGCTGCCACTGCGATGGATGAGTGGGGCAAGCAAGAGGAGAAAGGAGAATCCTCCGGCCCGGGCTGTTAGGACTCACCTTTGTGCGTGTCCATATGCCTTGTCTGTACTCCTTCTATGTAATACAAAGGACCAATTAGCGACCACGTCTACCTGGGCCTCACCCCCTTGGAGTGGGTCCTCCACCCTGGTCCCCTGTTGTTGTGGGGCCCCTCCTCTCTCTCTCTCTCGCTCCCATTCCTTCCCTACCTGAGAAAGTGGCGAGTCCAGAGACCACGTCTGCCTGGGCCGGACCCCCTTGGGGTACGTGCGCCACCCCGGTCCCCTGTTGCTGTGGGCCACGTTGTCGCGGTAGATGCCAAACGGGCCGTTGGCCGGTACAGTGGCATTCAACCCAGGGTAGCTGAGAGTGAACCCGCGCACCCTATCCCTCAGCTCCATCCAGTAGCTGATTTGCGGGAGGAGAGGGGAGGAGAAGGGGGGCGGAGGGAGGGAAAGGGTCACGGAGAGAGTTAGAGCGCAAACGGGCAGCTTGAGGAGGGAGACGCCAACGGGCCTGTTGGCTGGCACAGAGGCCTTCAGCCCGGTGTAGCTGAGAGAGGGTGGCCGCGCACCCTGTCCCTCAGCTCCATCCAGAAGCTGATTAGGAGGGAGGGGGAGCAGGGGCGATGGACGAAGGGGGGTGGAGGGGGGAACTATGGGATACGGAGCAAGGGAATGAGGGAGTGCAACGGTAGATGCCAAAGGGAGCCACTGGCCATGCGGGATCAATTAAATCCAGTGTGGGTAATTCACCCTGAGCCCGTGGCACTGAATTGCCTCGATGCTTCAAGTAACGACCCAAACAGATCTTTGAGGCGCCTCAAAAGCTGAATTGCCTCGATGCTTCAAGTAACGACCCAAACAGATTTTTGAGGCGCCTCAAAAGCTGAATTGCCTCGATGCTTCAAGTAACGACCCAAACAGATTCGTTCGACTGATGCATTTGGCTGGCGACACCAGGGTCCACTCCACTGTCTTGCACCCACACCCGCGTTGCCCATGCGGTTGTTGTTGGTGTTGGTGATCCCAAATTAGGTGGGGCTGTTGATTGTCTCGCCTAACCGCGATGGTTTCCTGCTTCGTTCTTACCTCACAACCGCACACTTGCACGGAAGCAGGTGCTCAGAGCGGGTTTGATCGCACACTTGCACGGAAGCACGGGGTGACTTTTGAGTCGAATGAAAAGACACTTGCACGGCACACCCAGAGTCCTCGGATCCACTGCGACATTCCCCATGAGGTTGTTGTTGGGGATGGTGATCCAAAAGGTAGACGGGCGGTTGCCGCTAGACCCTGTCTGTGATGGGTCACTCAATTCTTCCCCGTCCGTCCCCACTCACCCTTGCACGGAACCAGAGCCTCAAGTCCTTGGAATCAGAACCTACCCCGAGTCCTCGGAGCCCGCAGCGACGTTGCCGATGAGGTTGTTGTTGGGGTTGGTGATCCAAAAGGTGGACGGGCGGTCGTCCGTCTCCTCCGTCTTGGTGGGGTCGGACGAGAGGGGGATGAGCACCTCCACTGTTGGGTTGGCAGGCAAAACGGGAGGGAGGAGGGAAGTAAACGTGGGGAGGTCAATGGGAGCGGGGGGTCAAAGGGAGCACAGAGTGGTAAGGACTTGGAAAATTGCTGTCCGTCTCCTCCGTCTTGGTGGGGTCGGACGAGAGGGGGATGATTCCACTGTAGGGCATGCAGGAAAGAAGGGGGGAAGGAACGGAGGTGGGTGCGGTGGCCACAGTCGAAGGTGGATGGCTGGTCGTCCCGTCTCCTCTGTCTTTGTGGATTCGGACGACAGGGGAAAGAGCACCTCCACTGCAGGGCAGGAAAGAACGGGGGGGGGGGGGCGGAAGAGGTGGCGGGAAGGAAAGTGTGGGGAAGGGGAGGTGGGTGTGGTGGGGAACATGGACATTAGAGGATGGACCGACCGTCGTCCAGCTCCTCTGTCTAGGTGGGGTCGGACGAGGGGGGAACGAGGGCCTCCATAGACGGCTGGGAAAGAAGGGGGGGAGTGGAGGAAGTGGATGTGGTAAGGGATGGCTTGGGGGACTTCGGACGGGTTGTCGTCCATCTCCTCGGTCTTGGTGAGGTCAGACGGGAGGGGGATGAGCACCTCCACTGTAGGGTTGGGCAACAGTAGGATGGCGGGGCACTGGGGCCTGCGAGGTTGAGCAGGAACGTGTAGCAAGCTCCCCCCCTCTCTATGGGCTGCTGTACTCTACCCCAATCCATCCCATCCCATCTGCTCTGCAATGGACACTCTTCAATCCCACCAGCACAACACATCACCGCACGAACCCCACCTGCTCGCGTCTAAATGCCGAGGTTGTGCAGGAACGTGTTGCCCGCCTCCCCATCCTCAACTTCCAAGTAATCTACTCCTAGACCCATTTGCCTGGGTTGAGCTGCACGTCAAACCCTGCCCCGACCCACCTGCCCTGGTCCAGATGCCCAGGTTGCGCAGGAAGGTGTTGTCAGTCTCCCCACCCTCCTCCACCATGAAGCAGTGCCCCCTCGTGTGGTACGCCACGTTCTCCTGCACGGTTAGATTGAAGGTCGTGTGCACCACCACACAGCGCTGCCCGGGAGGGAGCGAAAGGGTTCACAGGAGAGCAGGAGGGGAGAATACAGGGCAGTAGAGGTCTTGAGGTTGTGAATATCCCCGCCCTTCCTCCACCATAAAGCAGTGCCCCCTCTGGGGTATGCCACGTTCTCCTCCATTATCAGGTTGATTGTGGTGTGCACCACCACACAGGGCTGCCAGGGAGGGAGGGGGAGAGCATGTGAGAAAGCAATAACACAGCAAGGAGGGTCATTGTGTTGTCCGTCTGCCCGCCTTCCTCCACCATGAAGCAGTGCTTCCTCGTGTGGAAGGCCACGTTCTCCCCCATTGTCTGGTTGAAGGTCATGTGCCCCACCACGCAGCGCTGCACTGGTTGAAGGTCATACCACGCAGCGCTGGTACAATGAGGGGGGGGGGGAAGAGCAGCATAAGGGGGCCATGTAGCGAGAGCAATCCGGGTCCCTCTTGCCTCGTGTGGTAGGCAACGTTCTCCTGCACTGTCAGCTTGAAGGTGATGTGCCCTGCCGTGCAGTGCTGAGAGGGAAGAGGGAGGGAGCATACGAGACCTTATAGTGAGGGCAAAGAACGGCAAGTGCCTCGTGTGGTAGGCCACGTTCTCTTCTACTATCAGGTTGAACGCCGTGGCCGCATGCACCACTACACAGCGCTGGTTCAGGGGGGAAGGGAGCACAGGAGAGCGAGCAAGACAGGAGGATACAGCGAAAATAGAGGTCTTTGTGTTGACGGCCTTGCTTGCTGCTTGCTGCTTGCTGCATGCTGCATGCATTTAGTAGCATCTCTAAAACAGGCTCACTCTCCCACCCCTCACCTGCTTGCCGCCACCCCTCACCTGCTTGCTGTCGTGCATCACGTTCTTGCGCACCACGCTGCGCCCCTGGTCGTCCCCGCACACATGAAAGTGAATGTTATATCTCCCCAGCTTGCCCTGCTGCCCCATCTGTGCAAACTCCACCCCCTCGATGAACTGCGGGGTGCGGCTCATAAAAACCATGAAGTGCCCGCCCTCGCGGTGGTACGGTGCCGGCTCGTCCGTGCCTGTGATGGCGATGGTGCGGTTGAGCAGGGCCACTTCTGCCCGCTCGTCGATGAACCCCCCGAACCCGTCCGGCACGCCCTTGGGGTCGCCGAAGTGGTTCAGGCGGAGCGGCTTCTCGAGGAAGATCTTGGAGCCGCCCGAGGGGAGAGCCACCACTGGGGGGTGTGGGGGGAGGGGGAGTCGGGGGCGGAAGGGGAGAGGGGTTTGGTTGGTGAGCATAAAGCGTGGGACACCTTGGGGAGTCCGAAGTAGTTCAGGCAGGGAGAGGCGTGACGAGAAAGGTCTTTGAACCGGCGGAGGGTAGAGCCACCACTGGAGAGGAAGGGGGGGGACAAGGGGGAAGGGGTTCTGGGTGGTGAGCATAATGCGTGGGGTCCACTTGATTATCCCCCACAAATCTCACATACTGTGTCGACTATCCCCACACCACAACATCAACCTGGTCAGGGGAGTAGCCCGAGGATGTGACTGACACCTCCTAGCCCTCATGCAGGACTGTTACTTTCCACTCACTGTTCACATTTCCATATTTATTGCCTCCACTCCACACCCCGCCACCCACCATCAACGATCCCAACAACCTCCGCCTGGTGAGGGAAGTATTTGGTGGATGAGACAACAGCCTGCTCTCCACACACCGTCCATATTCCCATACATGACAGGCTATCCCTGCATATCCCCACCTACCATCAATGATCCCCACCACCTCCGCCTGGTCGGGGAAGTAGTCGGTGGATGTGACAACAACGAAGGCGTCCAGGGGCCATGCGGTGACGTCATCCTGCACTGTAATCACCAGGTCGTTCGGCTGAGCTGTTGCCGTGAGCTTCGTCCACGCTGGCGTGCTACTGCCACCTGGCATGCCGTGCAGATCCACCTGGCCGCCCACCTGGGATCAACAGATGAAGGGAGGCAGAACATTCAAGGCACAGCAAATCCACCTGGCCATGCAGGTTCTTGGTGAATAGATAATCCGCACGGTTATTGGGGGTGTGGGGAGGGGGGGCCCGGGGAAGGGAGGAGGGATGCCTCTCACCACCTGTAGCTCACCACTGCAAATGCCTTATGGCCGAGGTTCCTCGGACACGCGGGCTCAGCCAGCAAATTCTCTGTAAACAGATTATCCGCGCGGTTGATGGGGTTTGGCGTGAGAGTGATCTTCACCCTCTCCTGCGTGGAGGAGAGGCGTCCCAATGGACAGCTCACAGACTCACAGGTACCCCTGCACCACTATGAAAGTCGGCCGCACTCAAGATTACTCTACTCAGGATTACTCTACTCAGGATTATTCCAAGGGTGTGCCGTACTCACCACTGCAAACGCCTTATGTCCCAAGTTGCGAGGAAAAGCGGGCTCAGCCGGGAGATTCTCGGTGAAGAGATAGTCGGCACGGTTGTTGGGGTTGGGCGTGAGAGTAATCTTGATCCTCTGCTGAAAGTGCTGCTGCGGCCTGCCGATGGAGAGATTCCCCTGCACCACAATGAAGGCTGCGCTTAGATCGATCTTGGGGAGAGCAGGCGAGTCGAGCACGCGGAGGAAGCCCCGGATGTTGAGCAGAGTGAGGGCGACAGGGGACGTGTCCAGCAGCACAGCCTCCCCGCACGCGATGGTTACGTTGGCGCCTGCTGCGGCGCCCTGCCCGGGGATGGGGCCATTCCCCCAGGTTGCTGGGTCGCTCCACTTCTTAAAGCCTGCAAGGGGAGAGGGAGGAGGGAGGAAAAGACGTGGATGGATGTTGAGCAGAGTGAGGGCGATGGGGGATGTGTCGAGCAGGAGAGCCTCCCCGCACGCCACTGTCACGTTGGCACCTGCTGCAGCCCCTGGCCAGGGATGAGCCATCCTCCCCAGGTTGCTGGGTCGCTCCACATCTTAAAGCCTGCAGGGGAGGGTGGGGGAGGGAGGAGAGGAGGAAAAGGGAGGCATCGGGATTTAGCACTGTGAGGGCGACGGGTGACGTGTCCAGCGGGAGAGCCTCCCCGCACGCGATGGTCACGTTGGCACCGGCTGCGGCACCCTGGGCGGGTATGGGGCCGCCTCCCGACGTGGCTTGTTCCAGCGCTTGAAGGTTGCAGGGGGGAAAAGGGGAGAGCGGGAGAGGGGGGGGAGGGAGCATGAGGAATTAGATGGGGAGGGGGAAGGAGGAATGTGCCGAGGAGAAGAGAGAGTCAACTGCTGTCTCCCCAAGTGGCTGGGTCACTCCACCGCTTGAAGGCTGCAGGAGGGGTGGTTGTGGGGGGGAAGTCGGGGAAGGGGAAGCATCAGGAGTCAGCAGAGTGGGAGAGACGGGCGAGAGAGTGGAGGGGAGGGATTCGGAGGGAGGGAGGGGAAGGGGGAGGGGGAATGGAGTGGGGGAAGGGAGTGGGGGGAGGGAGTGCGGGCTTTGAGGGAGGGGGGCAGGGGCGTTAGAGGAAGGCGGGTTGCCGGTCCAGAGGGGAACGGAGCAGTCGGGGCGGAGTGGTTGAAAGCGGGAAGGAGGGGGGGCGGGAGGCGGGGAGACACAGAGGAAATTCGAGTTCATGGGGGAAGGAGCCGGGAAGGGGTGGGGGGAGGAACGAGGGGGAGGGAGAAGGGGATGGGTAGGGGGAGGCGCACTGGTAGGTTCTTCGAGGGTGGGGCACGGCGGGAGGAAGTTATCTAGCACGTTGGCTCGCCCAGCAGTCGCAGGCGACGCCATTGCGACGATGACGACGGCGATTGCGACGGCGACAGTCCACGTGCCTCTCAGCCATGCTGTGCGAGAGCCAGGCGGAAGGGCGGAAGGCCCGCGGCGGCCACGACGGGGGAAGCGCGCGGAGGGTGAATGGGCGGAGCGGACGGAGAGTGGGCGCGCGGAGGGTGAGCGGGCGGGAGGGCTGCGGCGGCAGGGGAGGGAATGGATCGCTTGGCGCGGAGTCGGTGCGTCAACGGCGGGAGAAGGCGGCATCATGGCGGAAAATGCGCGGCCTTGGCGGGATTCCTGGCAGAAACGCTGGCCGTCAGCGTGCGGCAGTGCTACCGAGAAAGCTGCTCTGCTTCGACCAGTTCTTCTTTGCCTCGAGTCGTCGCCCACCTCGCCAAGTGTGGTCTACAAAGCAGTGGGTAGAGAGAACAGCCTGCCTGTGAACCTGAGCCTTGGTTCTCCCATCTAGATTCTGGACTGAGCTGAATGTGGCAGGCAGGCACTATCTGGAAGAGAGAGCTTAGCTTACTCCCTCGAGTCTCGACTCGACTCGAACCAAACAACCGCGAATCAGGCAGCAGACGCTCAGGTCTGGCCTGTTGGTCTGCTGACTGGACTCCTGGTCCCACTCTGGGACAGATTCATGTGTAACGAAGCATCGTGCACTGTGCATACGGCAGGGAGAGTGAGGCATTCCTTTCTGGCGGCAGGTGCACGGACAAGTTGCCCCCACCTACCAGCGGGACAAAGATTGAGCGTTACTGTACTGTTAAACGGTTAGCCAAAATAGTGTACGAGGTGTTCCCCTATGATGTGATCTGAAAGTGATGGGCTTTAGTGTTTCTTTGGTGACATCTTGTTTGGTTTGGTGTAGGAAATAGATGTATCGCATTGTTTAGTCGCTGTATATAAAGGAACTCACATAATATCGAACACCCACCTCTCTTGTGGTACTTTGGGATTGCTAGTACAATCCCATTTTGAATGAATCTCCACATATATGCAGCCGACAAGACTTTGTGAGGTGTTGGAAATGATAAAGAAACTTAAAGACCTTTCAGGAGACTTGCGTGGGTGTACGAATATGTGAAGACTGCAACGAGGATCACCGAGTCAACACTCCTACAGTACCACCGATGGATGACGTAGGTTGACGACGCCTTGCATAGGTTACGAAAGGGCAACGGTCGTGGATCGTTGACCGTGCAACCCAACAGTCAGAATTGCAAGAGTCTGTCAACTTATACATATTATCTATGTAGAAGTTCTAGGCTAGACTGAGGTATGCTTCTAGTGAGTACAACCAACTAGTAATTTGTTCTAGGTTTCCACTTCTAGTAATCATTCGTTCTCACTTTGACATGGTATCACGCGTAGGTTAGCATCCCCCACCTACCGCTTCCGCCCGTACCCTAGCTAGGCCACGTCGCGCCTCCTAGCCCCGTCGCGCCTCCTAGCCACGTCGCCCCCCCCCCCCCTCCTGGGCCACGTCGCGCCACCCTAGCCCCGTCACGCCACCCTAGCCCCGTCGCGCCTCCTAGCCCCGTCGCGCCCCTCCTGGGCCCCGTCGCGCCACCCTAGCCCCGTCGCGCCACCCTAGCCCCGTCGCGCCCTGCCTGGCCCCGTCGCGCCCTGCCTGACCCCGTCGCGCCCGCTCGGCCGCGTCGCGCCCTGCCTGGCTCCGTCGCGCACGCCTGGCCCCGTCGCGCCCTGCCTAGCCCCGTCGCGCCCTGCCTGGCCCCGTCGCGCCCGCTCGGCCCCGTCGCGCCCCGCCTGGCCCCGTCGCGCCCGCCTGGCCCCGTCGCGCCCTGCCTAGCCCCGTCGCGCCCTGCCTGGCCCCGTCACGACTGCCTGGTCCCGCCGCGCCTCCCTGGCCCTGCCGCGCCTGCCTGGCCCCGCCGCGCCTGCCTGGCCCCGTCGCGCCCTGCCTGGCCCCGTCGCGCCTGCCTGGCCCCGTCGCGCCTGCCTGGCCCCGCCGCACCTGCCTGGCCCCGCCGCTTGGCCCCGTCGCGCCCTGCCTGGCTCCGTCGCGCCCGCCTGGCCCCGTCGCGCCCTGCCTAGCCCCGTCGCGCCCTGCCTGGCCCCGTCACGCCTGCCTGGCCCCGCCGCGCCTCCCTGGCCCTGCCGCGCCTGCCTGGCCCCGCCGCGCCTGCCTGGCCCCGTCGCGCCCTGCCTGGCCCCGTCGCGCCTGCCTGGCCCCGTCGCGCCTGCCTGGCCCCGCCGCACCTGCCTGGCCCCGCCGCTTGGCCCCGTCGCGCCCTGCCTGGCTCCGTCGCGCCCGCCTGGCCCCGTCGCGCCCTGCCTAGCCCCGTCGCGCCCTGCCTGGCCCCGTCACGCCTGCCTGGCCCCGCCGCGCCTCCCTGGCCCTGCCGCGCCTGCCTGGCCCCGCCGCGCCTGCCTGGCCCCGTCGCGCCCTGCCTGGCCCCGTCGCGCCTGCCTGGCCCCGTCGCGCCTGCCTGGCCCCGCCGCACCTGCCTGGCTTTGCCGCACCTGCCTGGCCCCCGCCGCGCCTCCCTGGCCCCGCCGCGCCTGCCTGGCCCCGCCGCGCCTGCCTGGCCCCGCCGCGCCTGCCTGGCCCCGCCGCGCCTGCCTGGCCCTGCCGCGCCTGCCTGGCCCCGCCGCGCCTGCCTGGCCCCGCCGCGCCTGCCTGGCCCCGCCGTGCCTTCCTGGCCTCGCCAGCACCTGCCTGGCCCCACCGCACCTGCCTGACCCTTTCGCCCCGGCTCGTCCTGCCGTGCCGCCTCGGGCTCCGTCTCCTCTGCTCGCCCGTGCTGAGGCGCTTCGCGGCCGCCGTGCTGGAGGGGGCTGTCGCTGTGTTCCTGTGGAGCTGTGCCGCTGACCCTGCACGATGGCGGACTTCGTGCTCCGACTGGACGCGGAGGGCCATGCGGTTGACTTCGCCGCCTGGCTCTCCGATCTCCGCCGCCACCTTACAGGTCAGCGCCAGGATGGCCGCTCTTTGGTTGTCCATGTCGACGGCTTGCTCCCCCATCCCCCCGCACCTGCTCCCCTCCCTGCTGATCCCTCCTCTGATGACCGTAAGACCTTCTCTACTGCTGCGCTTGCCCGTGCGGTCTGGGACTCCCGCGATGCAGTCGCTCAGGTTGCCATTAGCCACGCCCTCCCTGTCTCTGAGCGCTCGCGTTTTGCTACTATTGAGACGGCCAAAGCTTACTTAGACGCTGTTATTGCCCGCTATTCCACACCCGCGTCTGCTTCTGCTGGTCGCCTGCTCTTCCCTATGCTTTTCCCAGACCTTGCAGCTTTCCCTACCGTCGCAGACTTTGCCACTCACCTGCGTGCCCTAGAGACCCGCTATCGCACTGCCAGCACTGCTGCCCAGCTCACTGCGCTCTCCCCCCCTTTCTGCATGACGCTCTATTTTATCGCCATGCGCCTGCCAGACCGCCTCGCTAGTGCTCGCGATCACTTTCTTAGCCAGCACCCGGGTGACCTCACTCTCACTGCCTTTGTCGACACCCTCACCGAGATCGAGACTCGCCAGCGCACTATCGCTCAGTCGAGCGGTGCGCCGGCAGTTTCTATCTTTCACGGTTGTGCCCCCTCCCAGTGTGCGTTCACTGACGTTTCGGCTGCGGTCGCCTCGGCGGCCCCTCTCACCGAGTCGGCTGGTGCGGTCCACCCGCAGCAGCGCTCGCGCCGCGGTGGCCGTGGTCGCCAGGGGGGTAGGGGTGGTGGTGGCAGTAGTGGTGGTGACGGTAATCCGCCTGCGGGGACTACCACTCGTGGGCAGGAGCAGCAGCCCCAGCCGCAGCCGCCGCCCCAGCAGCAGTTACCGTCCCAGCAGCAGTCGCCGCAGCAGTGGGCCCGTCTCTCGCCTGGTTGGCCCGGCACCTCCGGAGGTAGTGGCCGTGGTGGCGGCCCGTGCAGCTTGGCGTCTACCGGCGGCTCCGGTGCTGTCACCTGCCAGTACCAGCTTCAGACCGGGCCTCTTCGCGGCACTCTCTGCCGCCGCCCGCACCCGACCGCCCGCTTTTTCCGCCGCCTCGACGATCTCTTTCGTCGTCGCTTTGGCCCGGCCCCGGACCTCCCCGACTGGCACAGCCTGCTCCGCCAGGGCGTGCCGATCTTTGAGTTAGATATGGATCAGCTAGGTGCTGCTTTGCATGCTTTGTATTCTGACCCTTCTAGTTTTGCTGGATCTTATTACCCTGTGTACTCTAGTTTAGGTGTTGCACCACTGTGTAGCTTAGCCTCCCCTGCTGCGTCAGGCGTAGGACTGCCTAGGTTGCCTAGTCTAGTCGCTGCACCGGCTCCGTCCCCGGCCTCCACCACTGCGGCGCTGTCCTTCACTCTCGACTCCGGTGCTTCTGCCTGCTTCTTCCGCGACCGTTCCACGCTCACGCCGCTTGCTGCACCTGCTGTTGTCTCTCTCGCTGACCCCTCTGCGGGTCCGGTCGTCGCGCGCAGTTCTACGTCCCTTCCCTGTCCGGCAGTTCCCTCAGGCTCCCTTACTGGCCTCCACGTTCCCTCGTTCTCCAGGAACCTGGTTGGTGTCGGCTGTCTCCAGGACCTCGGCGTCACCACCACGTTCCCCGGGCACGAGCGGTTCGCTGTCTGTTCTGAGGCTGTCTCAGGTTCCCCCCTTGCGACGTTCCCCCGGGACCCGGTGTCCGGTCTGTTTACCCTAGACACCGCTTCCCCCCCGGTTGGTGCGTCCTCCCAGGTCGCTGCAGCTTGCTCGTGTCGGTCCCTCGCTCACCCCTCCCTTCTCTGGCACCACCGCTTAGGTCACCCTGCTCTCCCGCGTCTGCGTCTCATGTCCCAGCACGGTCTTGTCTTAGGTCTCCCTGCGTCGCTCCCTGCCCTTCCTCCCTCGACTGCGCCACCGTGCACGCCTTGCGTCGAGGGTCGGCTTCGCCGTGCTCCTCACTCCTCCTCGCTGCGTCCTGCTACTGCCCCCCTTCAGACCCTGCACTTGGACGTTTGGGGCCCTGCCCCCGTCCCCGGACCGCGCGGTGAGCGCTACTTCCTTGTGCTCGTCGACGACTACACGCGCTACACCACGGTGTTTCCCCTGGAGCGGAAGGCCGACGTGCCCGACGTTCTAATCCCGTGGGTTGTTGCTGCGCGTCTCCACCGCGGTCTCCCCGTGTTGTGTCTCCACTCCGACCGTGGCGGCGAGTTCGCCTCTGGTCGGCTTGGACAGTTCTGTCGTGCGGAGGGCATCACCCAGTCGTACACCTTGCCGGACTCGCCACAGCAGAATGGGGTTGCTGAGCGCCGCATCGGCTTGGTCATGGAGGTCGCCCGTACCTCCATGATCCATGCCGATGCCCCCCATTTTTTGTGGCCGTTCGCTGTTCGCTACGCTGCTCACCAGCTTAACCTGTGGCCACGCTCCCAGCGGCCGCAGGTTTCGCCGACCCTCCTTTGGACCGGGTCCCCGAGTGACGCGTCTGCGTTCCACGTCTGGGGCTGCCTTGCTCACGTTCGTGCCTCTGGCACGGACAAGCTCACTGCCCGCACTGTCCCCTGTGTCTTCCTCGGTTTCCCCCTGGACTCGTCTGACTGGCTTTTCTACCACCCGCC